TTTGCAATACAATATGAACACAATAAGTACATTGTACTTAATTTTTGATGTAAGTACATTGTAGTTAAGGCCACTTAATATAAAGTGGGGCCATTAATTCAACTACTCTCCTCTCCTCCTCCTTCTAGGATGACTTGAGGGTGAGTAATTTATGGGCTAATTTTCATTTTTGGGTGAACTAACCCTTTAACAAAAGAGTTTGAAGCAAGCAGCTTTATCATAATTACAGCAGAAATACTGGGTGCAATGTTTAGCCTATATAGGGCTTTAGATTATTGTTTTGGACAATTAGAGGCCTTTAAGTTAAACAAGTTAAGAACCACTGGTCTTTATTTAAGAATCCAAAATATTAAACCAATACATATTGAAGCCCAGATTGCTCATAAAATGGCTAGAATATAGTCCATTTAAAATAAAGGAATGCTGAATGAAAAGGAACTTTTTGTTGTGGTCCAGAGCTCTCTGAAGTGTTGTGGGCAATGGTGATGCGGGTCGGTCTGCGTGTGGACACCAGGGTGGGCATTGTGTTTCTGGTGCCTGTTGTTGGTCTGTTTGCTGTCCTTACTGTGTCCATCCTGCTGGTGATGGAGGGACTTTCAGCCTTCCTTCATGCTCTCAGACTCCACTGGTCAGTACATTACCTCAGATTTATACCACCATCACAAAACAGTGTACTATTGTAGTCCCTCACGCTCAGGAGCGGTTTGGACATCCATATTTAGTCATCGGATCAAAGTATGTAACTGAAAACACATTTTTACTTTGTACTGAATGAATCAAACTGAAATGATCTCTCTTTCCTCAGGGTGGAGTTTCAGAATAAGTTCTACAGCGGCGCTGGCGTCAAGTTTGTACCATTTGCCTTCTCTCTCTTGCACACCAGCTTTGAAAATGAGGGGCTGTTATGAACTATGAGATGCTAAAGACCAGACCAGAGCGGATCGGTGAGCTTCATTTTAACAGATTTACATACAGTGGTGTTGCACTACATGCCAAAGTGGTCCAGCCAAATACTCTTTAGGGATTATATGGAGATACCAGATCAGCATTGACATACTGAGCCACATCAGATGCTTGATCAGTTTTGGACATGCAACCATATCATAAACACACTGAGATAAAGCAACAGCTCTGGACTGTAAATAGGAGTCATGAGTGCTTTTTTTTTTTTTTTATGTTTAATGTATTAACTCTTCACAGAAGTGCTGGTTGTGAATATCTTTTTTCTACCATGTTGCCTGTTGGCTATGCAGAGATGGTCGACTCTCCATAGCGGAGCACATTCCATGAGTGACTTCAAGGTTTAACTTTTATGTCAGTTTGCAGTAGAGCAAGTGAATTTTTAACTGCTTGTGTAAATTCCAGCATTTTCATCCTGCTGCTTTCATCCTCCACAGTGTTGAAACATGATTGCGGCTCATTCATAGTGTTGAATGGTACTGTGCTTAGATAACAACAGATGTAATACATTCGGGCACAGTATTTGTCAGATGTTGGCAACAAGATGCTCAGAAAGGGCAACAATTACTTGCCTAAATGTTGCACCAAATTTGTTCATTCTTAATGCTGATTAGCCCAGATCTTGATTCTGTTGAGTTGTATAGATAGAGCTTCATGAGGCTCTGTTTCAAATCCTGCTGCAGCTGATCTTCTTTGTGTTTGAAAAATCTCCTCAAGAACCCCTGCTAGCCCACAGGAAGCTCAGATATAAGTGCCTAACATGCTGAATGCATTCTGATGGGTGGGTGGTGGATTGAATTTTTCAGATGAAGTCATATGAAATACATTGCGTTGTGTTGCTGTTCAGGGCAAAGCTTAAAGGCTGAGAGTTGTGAACCTCTCAAAGTCAATTAATTTTAATTGTATTGTAAATGGAGATGTTTTTAGTGATTTTAACTCCCAGATCTGTTCAGTTACTCTGTTCTGCCTCTCCAGAATGTTTTTTTTTTTTTAACTCGTGAATTTATTGTAAGATTTTGGTGTGTGAATTGTGAGCTACTGAATTCATTCCATTATTATTTATTAACAGTACTCATTTTGATTTCTATCTATCGTTTGAGTTTGTGCATTGTTTAGGTAATTTACATTCTACATTTTGCATATGATCTCTATATTATCATTACACAATAAAATCAAGCCTGTGAAGCTGGGGTTATAAAACATTAATTAAATGACTCTTGCTATCATTGCTATTTTTGAGCAAAAGCTTTAAGATAAAAGTTGTTTCAATTTCAGAAAAGAAACATTTACATTTAATCCTAATTGAATTCACTAACATTTAATTTAGCACTTTTGTTTTTACCACCTCAGATCTTGAATCTTTGAACCATGTAACAAAAATGTAAGCTTTTATTTGTTTTTATAAATAACCTTAAGGAAAATTACTTTTACATGTATAGGTGGGAAAGTGTGAACAAACTTCATTCAGTGTTTTAGAGCTGACATGGAAACAAACTAAGGATATGCCTGCGTTAACAAACTATGTTTAAAAGTAGTAATATATCTCTGTGCTCAGAGGTCATAAAATCTTACAGAACAGCCTTGCTGGTGATGAAAAATAGTTCTTGTAGGTACATTACTTTCCAACACACTGCCTGAACCAGGGTTCACTTAAAATTCTAAACAAATCATCACACCCCCTTCAGTCATTCTGCATGATACCAAAACATTCCTAACGACTGTATATAGACATAAAAAGTGCCTGCCAATATCCAAGTCAGCGAGTTTTAATCTGAAATATTAACATTTATAATCATACATTGACAGCTTGTCAAAAATGAAACTTTGACTAGCTGGATCATTTTAAATTAAAAGATCCATTTACAAGTAAACATCTTGGTTAAAATTCAGGTTTATACCAAAACAGCATTTATTAGGATGTCATGGCATCATTACTTTTGTTTCCTTCATAATAGTAATAATAATTATGGTTATCACAAAATACATATTGTGGTGTGAGCGCAAAACAAGACCGCCAGTCTAATTCTACTTTTTTGACAGCAATCAGAAATAAAGTGAGAACTGATCTCCAGAGATGTCAGGTCTCAACCCACTGCCTTAGAACAGGACTTTCTAAACAAAATAAATACTGTTGATTTGTTTCTGTGAACGTAACTGAAGTTATACAACTTTGCAATGGAGGCTACAGTTTCAAAGTGCTCAGCAAAACAACTGAAATATCACATTTTTTATCACTCCTGATGATTTATAACCGCCAGAAGAAATTTAAAATAGGTCTTTCTGTCACGGGGCACTGAAATACCAGTTTTAAAAAATGTACTACAGTGTACTTCTCTATCGCCACATTGTAATGTGAAATGCAGCAATCCCCTTCTTCAGGAACACTTGGGTGTTTTAATCCACTGTCTCTACTACTATTAAATACAAGCATATTATAAACACAAAACAAGGTCAGCAAGCTGTTTGCTTGTGTTTTCAGTAGTACACTTTGAATTGTGAGTGGATGACTGTTTGCCATGTCCTCTGAGAGAGTCAAGCGGGTGACTTGTTTACTTTTATTGGTTGATCATTCATTCATTAAGTATCCTGATTGTACAAAAAAGTATTTGTTTAATTGCATTGATATGCATTGTACTGTGGCACAATGACCACTGGGGACTCCACCAAGCCAATGCAGGAAGCAGCTCATTAATGTGCATGACAATTCATGAATGTAAAACACATTTGTGTCAGAATACCTACACTGTCCAGTACAACAGACACAAGGGCTCTTTTAATGCTTGCCTGAAGCTCATTGGCTAACTGAAGACATGAGATGAACCTTAAAGGGGTCATAGGATGCTCATTTTCCACAAGTTGATATGATTCTTTAGGGTCTTAATGAAAAGTCTGTAACATAGTTTGGTTAAAATTTCTCAATGGTAGTGTAAAAAACACCTTTTTTACCCTGTCAAAAACAGCTCTTTTCAGAGCAAGCCGTTTTGTAGCATTTTCCTTTAAATGTTAATGAGCTCTGCTGACCCCGCCCCTCTCTTCCGAGCTGCTCTCAGAGAGACTGTTTACTTTAGCCGCATTCATCGTGAAACTTGCTAATTAACACATTATTAGGAAAGGCGATTTGCAAAGATTCGTTAAAAAACCTTGCACTCACTTCTTCTGTAGGTGAAGCTGGATCACGAATAATTCGCGCGAACATTCACGCATTTATGTAGATCGTGGGCGCATTCCCTTCAAAAACAAACATAATCCACTGCGTCTTCAGCGGCTCAGATGTCAGGAGTAAATG